AGACAGATTTTAGTATATCTATGATGGATCTGAGCGGATTTTCACAATACTCCACGAGGAATTTCGAACTGTTTTCATAACAAGATCTATTAAGATAACAACAATAAAAATAAAAATCTAAGTATGAGGCACAAATATATTTTTCCTATACCACTGTAATTCTTCAATGCTTTCGCAGATATCATCCAGAGCTCTATGGGCTTCCGCTTTCCGCGGCCTTTTTGCATATATGTCTGGATACCAGCGTTTTGCTAACTAAAAAATTCTTGTAAACATTCAAGACTGACACTTAAAGAGATAAAAAATAAAGAAAAACTGTGACAAAAGAAAAAAACTCACTCGCGCCCATTCCTTTTAAGAAGTGGTGCAGCTCAGAAGTAGCTCATGTGAATAGATCCTCCAGTGCAAGCATGGGCAACTTTTAGCAACACTCGGGCCTGATTTACGTACTTCCTCAAGCTCGCAGGCCATTTTTTAATAAAACTCAGGTAGCACAGCATCGGGCTTGTCCGTGGAAAAATGTGTTTTTGTACTAAACTTGACGCAGTCAGACCATTAACATTATGAATGGTTGTTGCTCTACAGTTTAACATGCGCAACTCATGCGTCTCTGTTTTGGTCTTTTCTTGCATGCGGGTGAAAAAACTTGTTTTTTTCGGTCTTTTCTTGTGTATCTTCCCAAGCTCGCGGGCCATCTTTTCACACGGACACACTCACGAAATTATACGTTTTGCATTTTTTTTGCAAATTTTTGCATTTTTTTTGCAAATTATACGTTTTGCATTTTTTTGCAAAAGTGCATAAAAACAAATAATTTTTTGTTCGGTTGTTCATTCAATTAAAAAAAAAAATAAACAACAGGTTAATGTGAGCCCTGGGCTTGAATTTTTGAAACAGGATTGCTGAAATCGGGATTTAAATCACAGACAAAGAATCTCAAAATGTTTTCATATCGTCATCTGCTTGCCCTATACGTATTTTAGTTTTATTTTCATGAGAGTGCAGAGACATTGCGGAATACAAATCCCCATTCAAGTTAGGCACCACATTCCGATTTCCTCCGCAGGCCGGACGAAAACCGATAGCGAACCAGATCCACTTCGCGGGCCGCCGGTTGCCCACCAGTGCTCCGATGGATCCTTTTTCCCAAAGCTTTTGACAAAGCTAAATTCTTTTCGCTGCAATTTGCCCACATAAAATAACCCTTTCAGTAGGTAGCTAACATACCTCCTTAATGCTTGATACATCGATCGTTCGATAATGTAAGTGGCTTGCAAATGTGGGCATGTATTTCTGTAAAAAAACTCGATCGCAACCAACGGTATTACCAGCCAGCGGGCAAACTTTTGGATTCGTATGTCGTCGAACGTAGCTGAGCACCTGGAATTTATAAGAAACTTGCCGTTGACAAACTAAGAACCCAGGCTGCAATGCACCAGGCTTGCCATTGCGATCATGTGTTTTTGCGCTAACGTTGCAGATACTTAACACTGGGAATGGTTCTTGCGCTGCAGCTTAATACTTGGGCTCATACCAGCTGTGTTTTGGCCTTTTTCTGCATTCAGAGGGAAAGGGCACCGGCCTGGGACAAAGGTGTTGCACTAAGGGACCACATGGCCTCCAGCATGCATGATTATCAGTTTGCTGCATGGAACTCGATGGTTTTTCTGGTGAACGGCCTTTCATCGAGAAAATGCGAATTTGAGGGAAGTCGCAAGAGTATGAAATTCGCAAAATGCACTCGCTTTTAGATTTCCACTAAAACTGAGTATTTTTTATGTCCGAATGCAGTGAATTTAATCTTCAAGCTGAATTTAGATCACATATGAGTAGAGAATACCCTCGCAACGTTTCAGCTTCGCAGCTTGTCAAGTAGATGCAATAGCCGGTTCGCTACAAATATATTTAAAGTGTCCTATGTCGTGCCGCAAGTGCAAATCGTAACTCAATCTAAATATACAGTATAGCTGATGGGCAATAAATATACTGACAAAATTTCAACTACTGTTTTCCTGTTAGGTTTCGAGTTGGCACAATGCTAAATGCTAACTTGACGTTACCACATGTAGGGCATAGGCATATACGGCAGCTGAATTTGAAATCTTTAGCTCATATATGCACAGAGAATATCCCTGCAAAGTTTCAGCTTTTTATCTTGTCTGGCTCCCGGAATCGTTTCCCAATCAAAGAAATCTGCATATTTTTGTTGTGGGCCCGTACGCGAGGTCTAGACCCGTGTGAGCGATGACACTGAAATAAGAGGATGACAAATGGGCTGGGAATATGCCCCAAAAATTTCACCCT